CTTTTACATAATCAATAACAGTTTCCAGAGCAAAGATACATCTCTTTCAAAAGTGGCTATAAAATTTTTAGGTTCACTGTTGAATTAATACAGTTATACAATATTGAACTCAGTATAAGCCCTGTAAGACAGAAAATTGAATGAGTTTTTCTTCTTTTTATCTTTTCCTTTTTTTTCCTTTCCCTACCGACTCATTGTTTCCCGTTTGTATTTTTCTTTCCCAAAAGATAGGTACTGATGACCTACATCCATATCTGTCTGCCCCCTTATAGCTACTGCCTCAAGGGTATAGAGTTTGATAGCTTTCATTCTGAGTCCTTATTTTGTGAACTTTGACCTGTTAACCCCTCAGTTTCCTCATTTGTCATATGGTATTAATAATATCCATCCCTTGGGCAGTTGTGAAATAGAAATCAAGTGAGTTAATTTGTCAATGAAACTAGCCTGTATTAGGAGGTCCTATCATTGAGAACTGATTACTTCTGCTATTTCCCTCTCAGTCCCTGAAAATTCCTCCTGACTCTTAGGAAAAAAATTGTCCCAGTATAGCTCCCTTAAAGGTCTCACAAGAACGTCTGTTCAGACTCTGACTGGGGAATTGTGTGTGAATTTTTAAAACCTGAGCAACTCCAGTAAGATGTTTTGTTTGTGTCATTGAAGTGGAAGGAAAGTTTAAGGGATGTATTCATGCCTTCACCCGGACATTCATCTTAGCTTCTGACAACTATTCCAGGTGAGTGCTGTTCTGCAAGGCAATAGAAATACCAATCCAGCCTTGAGCCAGTGATGCAGGAATATAGTCTTAAGATATTCTTAATACCACAGGGAGCCAACAGGTAGCTCTTAAGAAGTCTAGATTACTGGTTAAGAGCAGACCAACAACTTTTATTCTGTGCCCATAATTTTGTGAACTTTGACCTACTGACCCCTCAGATTCTGGAGTCAGATTTTCTTCTTGATAATCATCATTAACTGTGTGACTTTGAGTATAAGTCTTTTCTGTGACTCAGTGTTCTCTGAAACTGTGCAAATGTCCACTTCTTTTGTGAAGGGTAAAAGCATTAGAGTTAAATCCACAATCTAATGAAGGTGGTGGGCAATCTCTAAAAAGGTAACTCTATGGAAGGGAGAAAAGACACCAGCCAAGGAAATAGGAGGGGCTCGAAAGGAATCTGGTGGCTTAGTAGCATTAAAACAGGATCATTGCTGAGAGTGTGGGGCAGTTCATCTGTCCAGTTATCTGAAGAGCCATCTTTCTTCCAGTTTGTGCATCGTGAATGATAAGATGACTGTGAGGAATGCCAGCCCCAGAGAAATCAAGAATGCTTTCTCCATCCCAATGCTCACAAAGTTCTCCAGCTCTCAAGGCACCTTTACCAAGAGTAAGAGGAAAAAGATGAAGGATTCCTCCACCCAGACTAAGATACCGTGAGTTCTGAGAATCTCAGAATAGTCTTGAGTTCAAAGAAGTGAAGATTTAATAATATAAATTTAAAACTATCAGATATTATGATACCAAGTAACAGGACAAAATTTTTAAATGTAAGTTAATTTTATAGAGACAATCTAGTAATTTTAAAATGGTATAATATGGGGCTGGAGAGATGGCTCGGCGGTTAAGAACACTGGTTGTTCTTGCAGAAGACCCAGGTTCAAATCCCAGCACCAATATGGAAGCTAACAACTGTCCGTAACTCCAGTCCCAGGGGATCCAACAGCCTCTTCTGATCTTGGTGGGCATTGCACGACATGGCTGCACTTACCTACATGCAGGCAATACACGCATACACATAAAATAAAAATAATAAATAAAAATTAAAACAATTGTATAATATTCATATCATGTAATGTTCATGTCAGACAACATGATACCATATATGTTAAAGTCTAAGAAAATCATAGAAATTATTTAAAATGTAAAAAGCGTCAGCATTATTTTAGGGTTTAAAATCCATATACAAAATCAATTGTACTCTAGCAATGAACAATTAAAAAAATTTAGAAAACAATTCCATTTGCAATAGCATAAAAAGTAGCATATTCAGGGGCATACTAAGAAAAGATTGAAAAATATTGTCTGAAATCTACAAAACACTGTAGAAATAAATTAGCTTTAAACAATGGATGACTATCTCATGTTCCTGGACTGGAACACTTTCTATCATTAAAACAGCAGTACTTGAGCTGACTGTGGTGATGTATTACTTTAATCTCAGTGTTTGGGAGCCAGTGATGCAGGAATATAGTCTTAAGATATTCTGACTGAGGTCAGCCTGGTCTACATAGTGAGTTCGAGGCCAGCTGGGACTACAGCAGAGGAAGGTTGATCTCTGTGAGACTGAGGTCAGCCTGGTCTACATAGTGAGTTCGAGGCCAGCTGGGACTACAGAGAGACCCTGTCTCAAAAAATGAAACAAAACAAAAGATAGCAGTACTGCCAAAATTTTTATTCATATTCTCTGTCCTTGCAAGCTATGTCAAAATTTCAGCCACCGTCTTTCTAGAAATTTACAAGTAAGTCTTAAAATTCAAATTAAAAGAAAATGAATCCATAATAGAAAATCTTGAAAGTGAATAATATAGCTGGCGTACTCACTACAAAGTTACTGTAGGTTAACAACTAAACTATAGTAATCAATACTAGGTGCTACAGGTCTAAGAAGAGACACATAGACCTATAGACAAAATGAAAGTCTAAAAAATTTTTAAATGTATTCTCATTTTGATAATCATTTGATTTTTAAGCAGAGTACCAAAAAGAGCCAAAAGGAAAATTAACCTTTTCAGCTATGGGTGCAGAAACAACTGTATATATCCCACTCAGGAAAGTATCAGATTTTACCCTATCACATGTCACATATAGAAATAAATATAGGGACTGGAGAGATGGCTCAGCAGTTATAAGCACTGAGTGCTCTAGCAGAGGACTCAGGTTTCATTCGCAGCACCCACATGGCACTTAACAACTATCCATAACTCCAGTTCCAGGGGATCCACCACCCTCTTCTGACCTCCATGGGCATTGCACAACATGGGTGCACTTATACGCATGCAGGCAATAAACTCAGATGCATAAAAAAAATACAAATTTAAAAAATAAATATAAATAGGGCTGGGAATGTAGCTCAGTTGGTAGAGTACTGGCCTGCCATGCATGAAGCCCTGGGATCAGTTCCCTGCATCACATAAACTAGACATGGTTGCTCATACTGATAGCCGAATAACACAGAAGTTCAATGTCAACTTCATTTACTTAGCAAGTTTGAGACCAGTCTGGGTTATGTGAGACTCGGTGATTAAACAAACAAACAAACAAACAAATAAAAATCAAAACTGTGGAGCCAAAAATAGAAAAGTCTTCTAAGAATACAGAGGATCAACTCTTTGTGTCATTTAATTAGACAATGGTTTCTGACATGTGACAGCAAAAACACAAAAAATACTCATAAAATTTGATAACGTAAATTTTATACAAAATTTCAAAAGTTTTTACTTCAAAACTTTTTGCTTCAAAAAATACTGTCAATGAGCTGGAAGTGGTGGCACATTCCTTTAATCCCAGCAGAGGCAGGCAGGTAGATCTCTGTGAGAGTTTATGAATGTCCTACACAAAAATGAGATTATTAAAGAACAAAAACAAAAATACTGTCAGTGAAACGAAGAGTCAATTTAAAGAATCAGAGGTAATATTTGTGTATTTTATATCTGATAACCAACACAGATCTAAAATGCACGGAAGCATTCTTAGAATTCAACCATAAAAAGAAAGTAGCCTAATTAAAAAAAATATTGCATTTATTTTGTTTGATTTGATTCATTTTGTGACAGGGTCTCACTGTGTGTCTCTGACTGGCCTGGAAATCACTATGTAGACTAGGCTGAACTCCAAATCACAGAAATCCTCTTACCTCTGTCCCAAATGCTGGGACAAAAGGTGTATGCCAGCATGCCTGTCCACATTCATTTACTGTGTGTGTGTGTGTGTGTGTGTGTGTGTGTGTGTGTGTACATGCATACATGCATGCCACAAATCCCATGTGGAGGAATGAGTATAACATTCAGGAGTCACTACTCTCCTCTACCATGTTGATCCTGGGGATCAAACTCAGGTTGTCAGACTTGAAAGCAGTGCTTTTTGTCTCCTAAGCCATCTCCCTGGCCCAAGTGATTTAATTAATATGGAAAAAGGACCTAACTAGATATTTCCCCACAAAACCAAAATGTTCAAAAAGAACACAGAAAGAAACTCAGCATCATGAGCCATCTGATTGGGTTTCTTTAATAAAATTAACAAGCATTGGTAAAGATACAGATAGACTGGAACCCTCCCTCGTGTGTTGCTGACGAAAGAGGAACATGATGCTGCCACTGTGGGAAAGAATTTGGACATTTTTGAAAAGGGTAAACATTGAGTAACTATATGACCCAAAACTCCAAAAAAAAAGAAATGAAAACAAATTCACATTAAAATAGTTACAATAATGTTCATATCGACCTTATCTATAATAACCCCAATCTGGCAACAGTCCAAATGTTCATGAATTTATGAGTGAATAAATCAGTGTTGTACACACAAATGAGATATTAAAAAAAAATAAAAGGAAGTTCTGATACATGCCCCCACTTGGATGAACCTTACAAATGCTATCTGTAAGTGAAAGAATATAGTCAAAATGACTACATATTGAGTTAATTTAATTTAATTTAATTTTTAAAACAAACCCAAATGAAGCCAAGCTTTGAGGTGTATGCCTGCAATCTAAGCACTTGGTCCTGTGTAGATGGGAGGAAGGTCATTCTCCTTAGCTACATAGCTAGTTCAAGGCCAGCTTGGGTTATGTAAGACTTTGTCTCAAACAAACAAACAAGCTAACAAAACAAAACAAAAACTCAGATCCACAGAAAGAGATTAATGGGTACTTAAGAGGTAAATAGGAGTGACTGCTGTAAAGAGTATTGTTCTTCATTTTCTATTTATGACGATGAAAATGCTCTGGAATAGTCAATGCAATGTGATAATCAATGCAGTCTTTTGAATATATTGTAAAAGTCACAGAATTGTACACCTTAAAGTAATAAATTCTAGGACATATATTACATCTCAATTTAAAAATAATGGGATTTTTTTGAATTTCCATTTGTTATGCCCTTGAGTTTCTTCTTTGTGTAAATGAGTGTGTATTGTGCTTCATTATTCTTATGAACATCCCTGTGTTTCTGTTTGAATTCTGAGCATGAATGGTGGTGACAGACATTTTGGTTTGCACCAGGTCTTTCTTCAGATTTGCAGTGGTGCTAAATCTGGCACACGCGTCCTAGCAAATGAGTAGCATAGGTTAAGTGGCAGCACTTTATAGCCAGTACATCTACCCTGTGATGTACCTTGAGGAAGATGAGTGGGACAGCAACAGAGATGCTCAAGGTCTTCACTGATCCAGGAGAATCCTGAGAATGAAGTTAGTAAAAGATAGATGGCTGCGTGTCCAGGAAGGTGGAGTCCGGGTGTTCTGGGATGGAACTCAGGGTACTGGGCTCTTCTCACATCCTAATTCTTTTCCTCCAGAACAAGGATGAGACCCCAGAGGAATCCTTCAATCAAAAGTGCTAAGAGGAGCCATTGCTCTCATTTTCCTGTTTATCCAAGTTTATCCACAGAGTAGTTTATTTCTAAGGCTTTACTTCTGACTGGGGTTGGAGTCCTGGCTGACCAGAAGACCAAAGTTAGCATCTAGTAATATAGCCACCCCGAGGGCCAAATATTCTGTATATTTCACCCTGAAGAAGCCTACTTGTTTTCATAATAAAGAGTTATGCAGCATGTTGTATCCTGGATTGCTCTTCTCCTGTTCCCGCCATGAGCCAGAAGTGTCAGGCCCGTAAGGCTCTGTATACCCCACTTGCACCACATTCATCCTTGGCCATTGTTAAGCAGATCTGCCAGACTTGCTTCCATGGGCACTTTGTGAATTAATCCTCATGACAAAGGACTTGTGCTACTTCAATGGTCGGCATTTGGAGACCATGGGCTCTGTCAAATGCTTTACATGCAGGCCTGCAGAAGCATGCATGTGACCTGAAACAACCAGGGCCTCCCAAAAGATGCTTTCAGGCTAGTGAGGCCAAAAAGGAGGGAAAGGTTGTGAGGGTCACACATTTTATTTCTCTTTTCTGATCATTTGAGTGTTTTCTCAGTCCAAATCATGTGTTTTGTGCTCCCAGCCTTGATCAGAGAAGCTTCTTACTATTAATGCACAAACCCACAACCTGACAAAGTACCAATAAGTGATGGTGTGGTGCTTGGCCCTAAATGGAATGGTTATATCACCCTCTTGAAGGCTCTGGTAACATCACAGAAGGAGTGGAAAGAATATAAGTGACAGAAGATGGAGAGATGTACAGGAAAAAGATGTCTTCTGCACATGACGTGG